GTTGAAAGTACAGCCACTGATTGGTCAGCAGACAATTACGCCACACGGCATGATTTGCATAAGACTATGGCTTGGGAATCACAGATTTGCATAATGTTATCGCTGGTGATCGCTAATTGGTCGGCTGGGAATCACGCCACATCACATTTGCATAGTGCTACGGTTCAGTAAGCACTAATTGGTCATCGAGCTCGATGTGGACACTATAAAAAGGTTAAGTTGAATGTGTCGCAAGGTGTTCTCTCGAACCTGTTTAGCGTATTGTTCAACAATAAATGTGAATTCGTCTTCATGGAAATATAAGACATCCCCCTGAAAATAAGACCTAGTGCATTTTTTAGAGCAAAAATTAATATAAGACACTGTCTTATTTTCGGGGAAACACGGTATTAACTGTATTATAATAATTTTATCCAATTGTCATGAATTTTAACGCTTAAACTTTTATTGGTGTTATTTTTTCCTTTTTTTGCTTTTATTATTTTGTAACTTTAAATTTTCTTTTGTACCAATTTGTTCTTTGTGTAAAAAATTTTCACTTTATCTTTGTTTATATTACAATTGTTTATTGTGCAATGCTCGTAAAAAACCGAATTTATCCTTCTATGTTTCAGATCAGCGATATGTTCTTTTAGATGTGTTTCTACTTTCCTTTTAGTTTATTCTATGTAGTTTTTTGGGTTCTTACAGGTGCATGGTATTGAGTAGACTATATTCATTGTGCTGTATATTTCTTTTATCTTATTGCTTGGTTCAGGTTTGATTTTTTTGTATTTTTTTTTTTTTCAATTTTTCATAAGTTGGAGCAAGTTTTATATTCACTTTGTTGAGGTCTTTATTTATTTCTTTGGAGAAGTCTTTGATGTAAGGAAAAGCTATATAATTTATGTCTGTGTTCTTGTTTTTTTAGTTTGATTTGCTCATTCTTATTGTTGATTTTACTTTCCCATTTTTGTATTACTTTGTTTAGGTTTAATTGAAATTTAGCTTTTAGTTCGTTGATATATTTATTTCTATTTTGTATTGTACTTGTTCTGCTTATGATTTTTTTATATTCCATACTGAATATGTTTTCCTTTATATATTGTGGAGTATTTGAATTGTAGTTTGACTTTCTGGATTTCTGTTGGTTTTTTATATGGTTTAAATTTTAGCATTTCTTTTCTTTGTTTTATTACTATAGCAAGGAAGTTTATTTCTGTGTTGGTTTTGTTTTCTATCTTAAATTTAATTTTATTATTTAGTTTATTTATCTTGTATTCTATTTCCTCTATTCTTACCATTGTTTGGTCGTATAAAATAATTGTCGTCTATGTATCTTTTNTTTCGTTTTCTATCTTAAATTTAATTTCATTATTTAGTTTATTTATCTTGTATTCTATTTCCTCTATTCTTACCATTGTTTGGTCGTATAAAATAATTGTCGTCTATGTATCTTTTGTAAAATTTTATGCCTGTGATATTATTGATTTCTGGTCTATGTGTATCGAGACAAGCTTTGCCAATTTCAGACCTATAACTGATCCCATGGTAATTCCTGCTTTTTGTGTATAAAATTTTCCATTTGTGATGAAATAATTACTCCTGTAAGTGTCCTTTTACTCCTTTTTCTTAGTGTGTCCTCTATTAGTTTCCAGGTTATTGAGGGATACATATTTATTATATCTAAGCTTGCTATTTTGTTATTTTTATTTATTTATTTATTTCTGTATTTCATTTATAACTTTGTCTGCATTTTTTATTGTATATTTGGAAATTTCATATTTTTGCAGTTTTTGTTTAAGGAATTTTTGTTTGTTTGTCTTCAATTGTATGTTCAGTTTTGGTGTTCTGCCATTTCCATTTTCTAGTATAAATTGTTTTTCTTCTTTTTTCATTTTGTTCATTTTGAACTGTTTGTTTACTCTTTTCTTAAGTTTTGCATAGATGACATCTTTTGGATCTATAGGTAATTCTTCAAATTTCCCGCTATTAACTATTACAAATTTTTTTGTTTGGGTCCACTGTTCATGTACTATAATGATTTGTTTTGATTTGTCTGCCTTTATAATTTCTGTATCGTTTTCTTTTAAAAAAGTTTTTAATTTTTCAATTTTATCTTTATATTTGATGTATGATTTTTCAGTAATTTTTTTCCGTCCTTTTACATCTTTTACGTGTTTTTTTTTTTTTTTTTAACTTATTACTAATTTCCATTTTGATTTCATTTACTTCTTTTTCTGATGATTTTATAATGTTGCATACATGATCTAAGTTTGATTTGATGTCTAATGTATTCTATTGGTTTGGGCCATTGAAATCCAGACCATCCTGTAGAGTGTCTTAAAGGTTTTTTGTAATCTTTATATTAGTTTTGTTTAATACGAGGCTATCTTTCCATTTCTTAACATCTATAAAATAAATTATTGAATGCTTTAATAAACATATTTTTCTTAGTAACAAAAAATAATAGTATACTTTTGTTAACTTCTGGAATGTAATCCTATGTTTTGCATTAGTCCTTTGTTTCGTATAGCATGGATTTGCATAACACGACACTTTCACAATCACAAAGAGAGTCTCAATCAATAAACCAGATTGGTTTATTGATTGAGAGACTCTTTTTGAGATAAGTTAGCACTGAGAACACTCTTTTCAATGTTATTTATGTTTAATGGCTTTTTGTTTTTTGGTAAAAGGAAAACATCAAATAAATTCAAATTATAGATAAACTATTAGTTTTTAAAGTTTCTCACAGGACAAAGTTGCTTCCTTTACATTTGTGTAATAAATGTGTACAAATAAATCAGAAATTCTGTCCTGTGGGAAGTTTTAGAATTAAAATACAGTGGATTTTTGATCCATTGTTTTTGGCAGGACTTGGGGGGAAATGACTAATGCAGGAAACACAGTTAGCATGGGAAATTTATGACGTTCATGTTTTTGTTGTTTTTCTTGTATGGAATGTGTATTTTTCAGTGATAGGTTGTGTGATGGCTTTCTGTAATACTAAACAATATCGAGCACGCACATGGACATTTGGTTATTCTACAGTTTAAAAAAATTGTTAAGAATACTGAAATTTGTTCGGTTTTCTCTGTTAAAACATTTAAAATCCTTTTTTTTTTTTTCAAATCAAAAAAGGATATCCATTGTCCAGAATTCATCATGAAAGTTATCTATAATACTGTAATGGACAGCACGCCAATCGTTTAATAGGAGAAAACTTTTTTAACATATAAGCGTTAAATTACAAATAAATGTCGCTAAGTCAACAAGCACTTTCGACTAATGTATGTGAATTTTTGAGGACTTCCAAATGATAATACAATGGAACCCCTGTTTATATGGCTCGAACAGCACCGGGCCCAATCCGGATAACCAAAAATCCACATAATCTGGAAAATTTTGTTAACAACATAAATAACACAATTTAGATGTACATTATATTTTATTTATTTCACATTATATATAATTTTACAACAATATTAACAGTATAAAGCAAAAGACATATCTACATACATTATCAGTTTGTTTTCTTTCAACTGGTACAGTATATGTACCAGTACATAAGTTTCCTGACCATTTGTGTGGGGTAGAACTTCTCTTTATGACCTTTTTCAAGGTCAACTTGTAATTAGGCTTAGCACTTCATGGGGAAACCAAAGGACTAATTTGAACCAAAGTAATTGTGATATACTATACTATATTTATTTTTGTTACCAGATACTTGGTTATACAGTCACTTGTTCAAAAGTCAAACATGGCATTGAGCCAAGAGAAAATAGATAATTATATATATATATATATTTGAAAATGCACTTCATTTTCATACGTGAAGGTTATGCAAATTAATTAATCACATTGCATTATCACCTTTCAAAATGTGAGTCGTGCTTCTTAATAACTTTGGCATGTTTCTGCATGTTCATTGAAAATCAGCGCACACTTTTTCCAGACAACCCAATATGAATTTAAAATATTGTTATAGTTTAAGATGTTTACTTTTATTCAATGATTTACTAGTAAAGTAAATGTGTGTATTATTATGCATAAAAAATATTAATTGAAAATTGAAAAAAATATTTATATTATGAATTAAAATTCAATTTTTTACATTGAAACCATCACTTTAAGACTTTAAAATTTTAAAAATCTGATGCCAATATCAATTTTTCATGAATATAACAAAATATATACTTTTCCCTATTTATCAGTTTTATGTCTTGCTTTTTGAACTTTTTAATATTTCAGTTTTGGAATAATCAAAAGATAAAATTTTGTGATGAAGAAATTTGTTAATGTCTTGTAGTTTTGAATAAGAATTTCTATAAAAAAAATAAACAAATAAAATTTATTTGATTTTTGTAATTAGTCTGATTACAAACTCTTTTTTTTTTTTTAGCTATAAGTAAAAATAAAGAAAATTAGACATGTACTTCAAAACATAAGTCAAACGAGTCATTGATTTTGAAAGTGAGGCGAGTCCATTTTATGACAAAGTAGTTAACACCAGTTCTTATTACAAATTAACATAAATTTTGTTTTTAATCAATTTACAATAAATATCTCATAATATCAGTATAAATTTGTTACTAGGTAATTTATATCAACAACAATATTTATTGAGAGTTGATTTTGAAAGTGAGGCAAGTCCACTGTAAAGAAAATTATAAAGAGATGATGGATTTATTATCCTATGTACCACCCATTCACCATGAATTCTTTAAAAATTTGCATCATCTATACTAAGAAATATAATTATATGCATGCAACTTATTACTGAATACTTTTATTCACTTCTTATAAAATTAAATTTCCTTTTTGTTTTATTGTAGCTTTTTGAAAGAAGTATGAAATGTTGAAATGTAATAAATAAGTAAAGAAATAAAATATTTAATTTTTTGTTATTACAACTTATTCCGTTCAAAGAAAATGAACATTTTCAACAAATCATTGCTTTTTAAAGTGAGTAAGTCCATTGACGCATACCCAGACCATGATTTTTTTTAACCTAATGCGGATAACCATTATTGCATATTAAATTTACATTAAATAAGACCAAAAAAAATATAAAATAAGTCTATTACTGCTTACAAATATTTTTAAACTCATTCAAATGCAAACCATTAAATATCTAGCAATAATATAAAATTGACTTGTTTCACTTTCAAAATCAACAGCTCAAATATTATTTTGGATCATCACCATATGGAAAATAATTTCTGAATAAATTAAAAGACTAAAAATAATGAAAAGTTTGAATGTTTTTGGTATACAAAAAGAATTATACAAAAATCTATTTCATACATGATATAAAAATGTATTATATCCTAAAAATATATACTCCAGTGTAATTTTATTGAAAAAAAAGTAACTTAATATAATTTTGCTCATAAAAAATTTTATTATTACTACATATTGCAAGATAAACAGATATAGTAATGATTCTTAAATACTACATTATTATTTTCAGGAGAATCTATTCCAATAAGATTATTTTTGGCCGGATATGATCTTACTCCTACCATGAAAGATATCAATAAAAAATTTTCAGTTCGTTACTATTTGAATCTTGTTCTGGTTGACGAAGAAGAAAGGAGATATTTCAAACAACAGGTATTCAGATATCTTTAATTATTAATCAGAATGTAGGTAAGAAAATATAGCTTCAAACAAAATTATTTTCTTTGTAGGTAAGTGTTTCTTGAATAATATAATATATATATAGAAGACGATGATATTTAAAGAATAAATTCATATTTTCTCTCATTAATTATCTGAAAAATGTGTGACAAAAACAAAAGAATGGTGTTTGGATTAATACCATAAGCATGCTTGTTGTGAAATAGCAATAAAGTTGAGAATTAACTATCTTCTTTTTTTTAATAATAGGGCAAGACAAAAAATCTGGACTGAGTTTAAAGTATTATAACTTTTGAACTCAAAAGATAATTTTAAAATCTTTGCATCAAAAATTGTCATTACACATATTCAGTTATAGCACATGAGATTTTTAAACATTCATGAATCAGTTTGGAAAAATGGCTTCAAAAGAGGACATATTAATTAAGAGTGTGTGTTGTTTAAATGTACAAAAATAAAGCAGACAGGGCTTAAAGTGACTCACTTTTTTCATTTTTTTTTCTTTTCTTCATAGCTCCTCTCTTTTTTAGCTTTTTCTGAGGCAAACTTGCTTTTTCAGCTTTTTCACTTCCCATGTGGAATTTACAGTAGAGCGTTGTCTATCCGAATCAATTTGGGACTGGGGTTGTTTGGATAACTTATTTTTCGGATAACCGATTATGTACAAAAAAATATATTAACCTATCCCATCCTGAAATTTCTCTCTGTTGCATGTCGCTTTATGTTGAATTTTCGTCGATGTTAAGCCTAACGTAAACCTTTTAAAATAATAATCGTGGCTATTGTATCATTAAAAATTATTTCTTTATTTTGTACAAACAAAATAAATATATTGAAAAATATAAAAACAATAAAAAATTATACTTCATAAGTTAATTTAGTATCAAAAACGTAAAATATTTGAGTAGCCCAAGACATAGCCAAAGATTGCAGCGCCACAGCACTAGCGAAAATCTAAATTTGCCAACTGGAATTCTTTCGGATAACCGACTTTCGGATAAACGACGCTCTACTGTATTTATTTAGTTTTGTAAATGCATTCAGGAGCAAAATAGTGACCAGCAAACCCCCCATACTGCAATCCTCCAACATTCAAGCTTCAAGAAACATATAAATAAATGCAATGAAGCCTTTGGTCCCAAGCACTTAAGACTGACGACTGCCCCTCAGATGTTTCAATGTCAAAGTATTAGTGCTGAAAGTGTTGCTAGTGTGAACAATGTTGTAGACTCAGGTGCCAGTTCAGAACATCAATTATTGCAACAATCAGTGCTTCAACTTTGTAGTGCAAAAGATCGTGCTTACATTGCAGAGCTTATATGGACTATGAAAATGACAGCCAGCAATTATTCATTTGCATCATGTCATGAGATAAAGGAGATAATCAATGCCAAGTGTGCAGACAATCTTCCAAAGGAATACTCATTGTCACATCAAAAAAAGATACAGTAATACCTCGACTTACACTACCCCGACTTACACGAACCTGGAGTTATGCGATTTTCAAATCTCGTGGATTCGTCTTTTGTTTGAGCGGCACGCAGCTCTTGATTACTCACTCCCCCCACACTATTGTTCAGCTTACATGTTCGGATGTGTCGTGCAGAATCAACGTATACTTACAATTTATTTTGTGTTATTTATTTCTGTGTTTGTTATATCTACAGAGACTTGAGAGACTCTATATGGTGATTTCTTGTAACCGTGAATGAATCAAAAGATGAGATAAGATTAATGAGAACATTTATTAGCTTACATACATCCGACTTGGATTTTATACAAATTGCAGAATTATACCCTGACTTACGCGAATTTGACTTATGCGGTTATCGCTCGGTCCCACCTATCATGTAAGTTTGGGGTATCACTGTACTTAATTACTGAAGCTTTAGCCCTGTATTTCTTTGATCAAATGGTAGATGATGCACAATGGTCATATTATAGCATTTCTTATGATGATACATGCAATGTAGAAGACAGAAAATAACTGCAAATACTGATTAGATACTGTTCAGAGGAACAATGCCTGATGCCGGGCTCGATAAATGACATTTGCATGCCAAAACAATTAAATTAAAAATAATACTGGCAATTGAAGATGCATATCTACCTTTTGATAAATTACTGATGATTGGATGCCATGGACCAAACATAAACAAAAAAGTATTGCATCTCATAAATGAGGAAATTCTGACAACTTGCAAAAAAAGGCCTCAACAACATAGGAACTTGCAGCATTCATACAATCCACAATGCCTTTATGAAAGGCTTGAAAAAGTTGGGCGGAGATGATGGTGGTCTCATCATAGCAACACACAGCTTTTTTGATGGATGGCCCTCTAGGTGGGATGAATACACAGAATTCAAGAAATACACATACTTCATAAATTTGTTGCCATGCAATAAATTTATGAAGTATTCATCAACTAGATGACTGATGTTTGGTCCTGCAGCAAAACGACGGATTGAACAATGGGAAGGACTCATATTATACTTCCTAAAGCACATTCCTCAAGAACTTCAGCTTAATGTGTGAGGGTTAAAGATGTACGAGACAAGTATTTCAACAAATATCAATTAAACAATAGTTTATTACAACCGGGATTAACAGGTAATACAGTGATGCCCGTCAGAGACAAATACACAGATATACATATATACAACAGGTCTCTGCTCTCGTTCGGAATCTTACAATGAATTGTTATCACGATATGGATTCTAATTACTAACTTATAATTAACTTATAACTAACTTAATCTAATACTACACTAATGAGAGGAAAAGGAAGGAAGGAAAAAAAAGTCTACTGGTATTTAGCACAGGAGGTCCTGATTGGGGTTTCCGATGATTGTGGGGGTTTTGTCGATCGACATTGGAATATCCAACATTCCTGGTATGGTAATTGTCGCTTGGATTTTGTAGACCACTATTTCTTATCGGACAAGTCTCTAGTCCTTCTCCTTTCTTTCAGACTACTCTACACTCAGCACGTTCGGCTTGTTCTTTGTCCTCGAGGTCCGACTTACTGTCCCGATGATACTTTCGCGACCTCTTCTCTCGTGGCCCAGGCAAAAAGTGTCTTTCTCACCCCTTTGTTCTCCTTCTGTACCCCACGGGCAGGGCCCCTCCCTGTTCACGTCGATAAGCCACCAATCAGGACCCACGAATTTCCCGTTCCTGTCGGGTGACCGGAAATGGTCATTAGTAGAAAGAAGAAGAAGGAAAGGAAAGAACAAAGAATTCTAAATTTAAATACTATATCTATGTATATACAAAAATGGTGGACAGCCACATATGCCCTCATCAGGGGAGCTCAAACTCCACAGTGGAGTTTGTGATAGTCCACTCTCCTCCCCCTGAGGTTGTATCTGTCTTGATATGAGTCCTGTAGTTCATCACTTGGCATTGTCCTTGCTTCCTGATGTACGGGTTCTCTGATATGACTCGGGGATGCGATGCGTTGTTGGTAACTTCGTATTATGTTACCTTCATCCTCCTTTTCTTCATCTTCGGCCTGGTCCAAGTGATCCTCTCGGTTAGTCCTATTCGGTGTATGATTTCGATGCACAGTATGTGAGAAATATGGCTTAAGTCTATCGAAGTGGATTACAAATGTCTTATCCTTTGAAGTTTCTCCTAACTCCGCGGTTACAGGACCTAGGATCCGGGTGATACGAAAAGGTCCTAAGTACTTGGGGGAGAACTTGCCGAATTTTCTCCCACGATGCTTTCGCAACACCCATACTCTTTGGCCTACTTCAAACTTCCGCGCCTTCCTCTGTAAGTTGCATCTCCCCCTATTATCTAGATTTTGGTGCCGACCCCTTAAATATGCCTGATTCCGAAGTACGGTTAATTTTTCCATTATTTCTTTCCTATGGTCAGAAATACTCGTAGTATTTTGTGTCCCCGTGGGAAACACTTCGGGTATCCGAGGATCGAAGCCTAAAAGGAGGAACGCGGGGGATTCACCGGTCGAAGAATGGGTTGCGTTATTATAGGAAAAAGCCGCTTGGGCAATATACTGATCCCAATCCCGATTCCTACCTCTCGATAACCGGGCTATTATTCCGCAGATCGATTTATTAAACCTTTCACACACTGAATTCGCACACGGGCGGTAAGCAGTGGTGACTTTGCGTGTAATACCTAAGGTTTCGCATAAATCATTGAATAATGTGGACGTGAAATTTGCCCCCCTGTCAGAGATAATCACTTCGGGGCACCCATAACGGCATACAATACGTTCGAATATAACATCAGCGATGACCTTGGCTGTTTGATCCCGAAGAGGGATAACTTCCGCATATCTCGTGAACACATCGATAACCGATAGGATGTATCTATTTCCGCTGTTTGTTACAGTTAAGGGACCGATAATATCTATTGCTAATTTTTGGAAAGGGAAGCTTGCTACCTCCGTCTCTTGAAATGGCTCCTTTCCACGATGGAGATTGAATCGCTGGCAAGTTTTGCAACCTTTTATAATGGACTTAGCTATAGCATGAAGGTTTTTAACATGATAATGTCTGTCAACCAACTGACTCGTCTTTTCAGCACCTAAGTGCCCTCCCATGCCAGACTCATGGCAGGCCCTAACTACCTCCCTACTCATACTTTTGCCAACACAAACGCGCTTCCACCGGTATAAGTTGTACCGACCAGGCTTAATATGGACCAATACCTCGCCATCAAGTTGATATTCCGGTTGGATAGTTCCCTTAACATTAACGAATTCTCCCTTTCGACGGTCGTTCTCCAGCCCCTATTTCATGCTACTTAGGAACTCATCCTCTTTCTGAGACTTTATAACCCGTTGGTACATATTCCCTTCTTCCCCACTCGAACTGTGGTTCATGGAATCGTGCTGGGAATTGGGGCTTATAGGGCGCGACATGAGGTCAGCTACAGGGTTATTCTTGCCTTTAACATGTGCCACTATAATGTTATAGTTAGACAGCTCGAGTGCCCAC